TGAGGCCAAGTCTCACCATCCTCGCTTCTAAGGAGGATTCTGAAATTACCCTCCTCCAAATCACTCTTCTTCTGAATTAGGACTCAGAATGCAGACCCAAAAACCACATCACCAACTGCTCCCAGTCACAAGGGACATCCAGATTATCCTAGGTCCTCATGGCCATGGGCCCCTTTTTGAAATTCCAATCTGTCTGAAGGGGACAGGGGGAGATAACCAGCTTACAGGGCAGGGGTGAGGCTGAGGAGAACTTGACAGCATGCCCCAGAGAATAGAGAAGCTCAGGTCAGCACGTGGAGCCAGTAGATGCATCTGGCAGGCAGAAGAAGAACAGGGGACTCCAGATGGCCAATCAATTCAGTGAGCAGTTCAAGACCAGGCAGGGCAGTGGCCAGTGCTCAGAGATGGGTTCATGCTTAGTGGGCAGGGGCAGAACAAGGAGGAGCCAGCCCTAAAAGGAAGTCAGCAGGCATGAAAGAGCACCGAGGGTCATCAGCACACACCGAGGCCTGGGCAGAGCCTCCTCCTTGAGACCCAGACAAGGTACCCTGGGTCCCACACTCTGGGCATCTAAGCCACGTTGTTGTTCTTGGCTGCCGTGGAGTCAGCTCTGACTCAGGGCGATCCCATGTACAGCAGAACGAAACATTGCCTAGTCCCGCACCATCTGCATTATCATTGGCATGCTCCAGTCCATTGCTATGGCCGCCATGTATTCTGAGTGTCTTCCGACCTAGGGTGCCCATCTTCCAGCACTGTGTCAGACAATATTCTGTTGAGATCCATAGCGTTTCCATTGGCTGATTTTTGGAAGTAGATTGCCAGACCTTTCTTCCTGGTCCATCATAGTCTGGAGTCTCTGCTGATACCTGTCCACCATAGGTGACCCTGCTGGTATTTGAAATACCGGTGGCATGGCTTCCAGCACCACAGTGACATTCAAGCCACCGCAGTACGACAAACTGACAGATGAGTGGTGACTAGGCCACATAGCTAAGCATAAATCTTGTACAGGAAACCCAGCGCTGTGCTCACAGACAGCCTCAACGCCCTCAGCCACGTGGGTGCTGTATCAGTTTCTTAGGACTGCCATAATGTAATGCCACAAACTGAGTGGCTTATAGGAGCAGGTACTTATTGTCTCACAGTTCTGGAGGTTGGAAGTCTAAATCAACATGTTGAGTAGGCCACGCTCCCTCTCAGGTCTCTGGGGGAAGGTCCTTTCTCATCTCTGCCAGCTTCTGGTGGCCCCAGGTATTCCTTGACTGCATCTTCACAAGGCCGCCATCCTCCCTCCGTGTGTCTCTGTATCTCTTCTCCTCTTTTATAAGGACACCAGTCATATTGGATTAGGACCCACCCTGCTCCAGTCTGACCTCATGTTAACTGATAATATTTTCAGAGATCCTATTTTCAAACAAGGTCACGTTCTCAGGTACCAGGGCTTAGAACTTCAACATGTCTTTTGGGAGGACTTCACTAAGCAAAGGGCAAAGTGGGTACATCCCACCTTTATTGCTGACTGTATGGTAAGGATCATCATGAATTCAGCTCCCAAAGTGTGGACATGGATCCAGTCCTCACCTTCCCCCTTCTCCATCCTCACCGCCAGCTTTCACACAGCAGTTCTCTCTGCCTCTAGCCGCGTGGAGCTGGGTCAGAGCTCACAGGTTAGAAAAACACCTTCTTTCAGACTGCCAAATAGGCAAACGCCAGCCCTGCTGTCTCTCACTGCCTCTGTGGGTTTGTTAATCCGCTGGAACAACCCACAGAATTCACAAAGAGTGTAACATACTCACAACTACCTATTTATTATAGCCAGAAAAACCCATTGCCGTCGAGCAGATTCCATCTCATTGCGACCCCATAAGATACAGCAGAACTGCCCCATAAAGTTTCCAAGGAGCAGCTCGTGGATTCGAACTGCTGACCTTTATGGTTAGCAGGCAAGCTCTTAACCACTGCACCACAGGGGCTCCATGGCCAGAAAGGATACAAATAAAGAGACACATAGGGCGGGGTCCAGGAGGAGCCCCAGTGCATAGCTTTCACAACCTGAGGGAATGCACTACCCTCCTGACAGCAGATATTCTCTCACCAGCCAGGAAGCTCATCTGAGCCTCAGGGTTCAGGGCTCTTCTCAGCCTCCCCACATGGCCATGATAGATTACATGGTGCCTCCTGAGGCTTAGTCACCATCGGACCCCCAGGTGATCCCTCTTGTTCTGGTCAGCCCCCACTCATTAGCCTCGGGTGTAGTCTAGCTCTCAGGAACCAAGACCAAAGGTCGCATTGCTTGGTGTCAGGTGAGTCATTACCTCACAAAGACACGATTCAATCCATAACAGTTGCTATCTTGTGAGGAATCAGCTAAGGAATGAACCAAAGCCGTGATAGTTTGCAACTACACCGCAAGATTGTCCTAAAGGTAAGCAGGAACGTAGAAGTACGATTTGAAAGAAAAGACTGTCTCTCCCACTAACCTCTCATCACTTACAACTCACTGTCCGTGCTAGTTTCCTACTGCTGCATAACAAATTACCACAAATTTAGCACCTTAAAACAACTCCCATGTATTAGCTCGAGTTCTGTAGTTTAGAAGTCCTAGCGCAGCACGGCTGGGTTCTCTTCTCACAGTTTCAGGCTGAAACCATGATGTCGGTCAGGCTGTGTTTTCTTCTGGAAGCTCTGGGGTAGAGTTTGCCTGTGAGCTCATTCAGGT